GGCTTATCGGGCGAGACTGTGCGCATACTACAACGACCGCAGGAGGAGGCGATAAGGAAGCAATTGCAGGAAGTCTACGATAGCGGACTGAAGAGCATCGCCGTCTGCTTGATGCATGGATACACATACCCCAACCACGAGGCATTAGTGGGCAAGATCGCGAGAGACATTGGCTTTGAGCACGTCAGCTTGAGCCACGAGCTTATGCCCATGATCAAACTGGTTCCACGCGCTACCTCGGCCTGCGCAGACGCATACCTCACACCCGCGATCCGAAAATACATCGATGGCTTCTCCAAGGGCTTCGAAGGCGGCCTTGGCTCCAAGAGCGTGAAGCGCGAGGAGGGCTCCAAGGGCGCTCGCTGCGAGTTCATGCAGTCAGACGGTGGCTTGGTAGATGTCGACATCTTCTCTGGCCTAAAAGCCATCTTGTCTGGTCCTGCCGGTGGAGTCGTTGGCTATGCGCTTACATCGTACGATCCCGAGACCAAGATTCCCGTCATTGGCTTCGACATGGGCGGCACCAGTACCGACGTCAGCAGATACGGTGCTGGGCGTTACGATCACGTCTTTGAGACTACAACAGCTGGCGTGACCATACAGTCTCCACAGCTCGACATCAACACTGTCGCAGCGGGTGGTGGTTCGCGCCTGTTCTGGAAGAACGGACTGTTCGTCGTAGGCCCAGAGTCGGCAAGCGCACACCCAGGGCCGGCATGCTACCGCAAGGGTGGCCCACTAACCATCACAGACGCGAACCTCTTCCTTGGCCGGCTATTACCAGACTTCTTTCCCAAGATTTTCGGTAAGAATGAGGACGAAGGCCTTGATGCGCAAGCGAGCGAGAAACTGTTCAAGGAATTGGCCGAGCAGATCAACAAAGAGGTCGCAGGTGGTAACAAAGAGAAGGAGATGTCACTGGACGATATTGCAAACGGATTTATCAAGATCGCTAATGAGACCATGACCCGGCCGATTCGAAGTCTGACAGAAGCCCGTGGACACGATACGAGCAAGCACCGGCTCGCCACATTTGGTGGTGCGGGTGGCCAGCACGCGGTCGCCATCGCCGAAGCACTTGGCATCTCGCAAATCCTGATTCATCGCTACTCATCAGTACTATCAGCATATGGCATGGCACTCGCTGATGTTGTCGATGAGAGGCAGGAGCCAGAGTCTACAGTGTGGTCGGACGAGAAGGATGTGAGAGAATACTTGCAAAACAAGATGGCAGATCTCAAGAGCAAGTCAACAGCTACGCTTAGAGACCAGGGCTTCGATGAAGAGCATGTCCACTTCGAAGAGTACCTCAACCTGAGATATCGCGGAACGGAGTCGGCACTTATGATCATCAAGCCGACGAAGGAGGAGGCAGAGCAAGAGTATGACGGCGATGAATGGGCTTTTGGTAAGGCTTTCGTCAAGCAGCATGACCAGGAGTTTGGCTTTACTCTACCCGATCGCGACATCATTGTCGATGACGTACGAGCTCGCGGCATTGGCAAGACCTTTGAAGGTCTCGAGAAGAGTGTAGATCAGCAGCTTAAGGAGATCAAACCAAAGGACCTCTCAGGAGACGCAAAGCGCTACGATACACGAAAAGTCTTCTTCGAAGGCGGCCGGCAAGATACCTCCGTCTACAAGCTCGAAGACCTAGAAGTGGGCGATCGATTGAAGGGTCCAGCAATCATTGCCGATGGTACACAGACTATTGTCGTGACGCCCGGTGCCACTGCGCTTGTCATCCATACTCATGTGGTGATCAACATTGGTGAGACGGAAGACCAAGATGAGGAGGTTGACACGAAAGAAGTCGACCCGATCTTGCTCAGTATTTTTGCTCATCGGTTCATGGCTATTGCCGAGCAAATGGGCCGCGCCTTGCAAAAGACCAGTGTGTCAACGAACGTGAAAGAACGATTGGACTATTCCTGCGCACTGTTCGATGCGGATGGCGGACTAGTCGCCAATGGTAAGTCGATCGCTGGAGTAAACTGACTCAGCTAACTCCAGTGTAGCTCCTCATTTACCAGTGCATCTCGGAAGTATGTCAACCTGTGTCCGCAAACAAGCCGCCATTTGGAAGGGCAAGCTGAAGAAAGGCGACGTCCTTGTCTCTAATCACCCCATGTTCGGCGGGACCCATTTGCCAGACATCACTGTGATCACACCCGCGTTCAGTGGTGACAACATCATCTTCTACGTCGCATCCCGTGCGCATCATGCCGACATAGGTGGCATACTTCCTGGCTCCATGCCTCCTGCGTCAAAAGAGCTTTACCAGGAAGGTGCAGCCATCAAGTCCGAGAAGTTGGTGTCGGAAGGACACTTCAACGAGAAGCGTATCACCGAGCTACTCTTTGATGAACCAGGCCGATACCCTGGCTGCTCGGGCACGAGATGTCTCAGTGACAACATCAATGATCTGAAGGCTCAGGTCGCCGCTAACCAAAAGGGTATCAACCTGATCAACACACTAATGTCAGACTATGGTGAGCGGGTCGTCAAGTTCTACATGACAAGCATACAAGCCAATGCGGAGCAGTCCGTTCGCGCCCTGCTAAAGGACGTATACAAGCGATTCGAGGGTCAGGATCTTAGCGCAGAGGACTTCATGGACGATGGCAGTCCAATACGACTCAAGGTCTCTATTGATCCCGAGAAGGGCGAAGCTGTCTTCGACTTCTCTGGTACCGGGCCTGAGGTGTACGGAAACATCAATGCGCCAGAAGCCGTTACCTACTCAGCCATCATCTACTGTCTACGCTGTCTGATCAGCGAGGACATTCCGTTGAACCAAGGATGTCTCAAGCCCATTCACGTTCTCATACCCAAGAAATCGTTCCTCTCGCCGTCTGACAATGCCGCTGTTGTAGGTGGCAACGTTCTCACAAGTCAGCGAGTGACAGACGTCGTACTGAAAGCTTTCCGTGCTTGTGCTGCAAGTCAGGGAGATTGCAACAATCTCACGTTTGGATTTGGCGGTACAACATACGGAGAAGGAGAAAAGAGCGGCGAGCGCAAAGACACGAAGGGTTTTGGATATTACGAAACAATCGCAGGAGGATCTGGTGCAGGCTCGACTTGGAACGGCACGAACGGTGTTCATACGCACATGACCAACACCCGGATCACCGACTCCGAGGTCTTCGAGCGAAGATACCCCGTTCTGCTCCGCGAGTTCTCACTCAGGGAAGATAGTGCGGGTAAGGGCATGCACATCGGTGGTGAGGGCGTAATCCGCGACATCGAGTTCCGCATCCCCGTCCAAGTCAGTATCCTCAGCGAACGAAGAGTTTACCATCCATACGGTATGGAAGGAGGAGAAGACGCCGCATGCGGTCTGAACATCTGGGTGAAGAAGGTAGACAAAAAAGCTATCGACCAAAATTCGGATTCCAAGCGTCCAACGGAACCTGTGGAGGATGCGCAAGCGCCTACCACCTCCCGTGCAGTTGAAACTCTGCTGAAGAAGGATGCCGATATCAGGAAGGAAGATGTGGAGTACAGATACATCAACATGGGTGCTAAGAACACGGCCGCCATGCGGCCTGGTGAACGCATCATCATCCACACGCCTGGTGGCGGTGGCTGGGGCAAAGAGGGCGAGCAAAGTAGGGTGCAGGACAAGATTGACCCGAAGGGAAGTTGGAAGGGTGGAAGCATAGCTGGAAGAGAAAGTACTGCGGAGGCTAGTGCTTAGAAGATACCTTTGTATATCGTGTGAAAACTGTAACGAACACATTCCACCTTCCGAGCACAGTCTGATGGACGTGACTCACATTGTGGTATCAACGAAAAGCATCGCCCTCCTAGATACCATCCTCAAACCAACGTCTAACTTCCGCCTCGCAAACTTCTCTCCAATCCTCCCCAGCCCCGCTGTCCTTCTGATGCGCCTTCGCCCACCCCTTCGCAATCCTATCCACGACACCCTCTCTCCTACCCTTCCACCGCGGAAAAAACCGCATATTCTCCGCCTCAAACTCCTTCACAGCTTCCACACGTACCTGCCACGTCTTACCGAAATTGACCCCGTTATCCAGTATAACATCGCGTGCTGTGATGCCATAGATGGGCCTGTCCGCCATCGCCTTCGGTAGCAGATACGTGAGATCTACCCGCCTATACACCATGGAAATATACATCGCAGTCGCGAGAAAGTACTCCAGCGGATCACGATTCTTCTTCGAGCTGGTGGGATACTCAAAGTCGGCGAAACTGATAGCGACACGGATATGTGGGTGCTTCCGGCAGAAACGTGCTATTTCAACGAGGTCATCCCACTTGACGGGGCTAATCCAGCGTTTTCTCAAGATAGGTATGGTGTCTTCCAACCTTTCGTAGTGTAGTGAGAAGTTTATCGAAGCCTGTTGCTTTGGTGTGCAACGTGCTAGGGTAGGTGCGAGCGACGAGGCGTGGTCTACGAGAACATCGTTGTAGCGGAGTTCCAAGTCGGCTGTTTTGCTGCGGAGTTGGCGGCATACGTTTTTGAGTTGGTTCAACGCGTGGGGCTGCGGATTGTGCTGATGTGGCTGGTTGCATGATCGCTGGTGGGGAGATCTGGGCAGGAGGGATACATGTCTGGAAGGAGCGGTCAATGTAAGCTCGAATATATGGTTGCGGAGTTCGCCTGGTAGACCTAGTAGGGAGAGTTTTGGATACGATACTGGTGTCTTTTCAGGGCTCTTTGCGGACGCGCAGGTTTTGGATTTCGCTTTCTTTGTTGCGTGATCTTTGGGAATTTCTTGTCCATCATACTCAGAGTAATTTTTTTTGCGTGTATTCCAGACCATCTTTGCAGCGGGTTTACTGAGATGTAAGACTTGTGAGGAGAGAGCTGAAGTATTTATCTGCTCTGATTGTATCGCGACACGAAGGTTAATCCAGAATGTCGTAGCATTAACATTTATATTACTCTAGTAGGTATGAGAATACCACAGATACGAAAGTCGTCATGCGCGAAACCTAGATACAAGCATATCGAGGCCCTCAACGCCTCACTTGCTCTCAACAATGATACCATCACTCTTCCTCGCATTCGCAAAGTTCTTGCTTTCATAGAACGCAATCATATCCTTCCATCCTTTCTCCCATTCATCCTTCATCCACCCATGTTCTGCGACCCAAAGCTTCTCATGGACTACCTTCAACGAGCCATCGCCCTCTCCCTCGGTGGGAAAGAAGCCGCCCCATTGCCTTTCCAACTTCGTCCCTGGGTATGCGCCCTCAGGACCGAACTGCCAATTCAAGAATGCTTGCTCAGCCATCAAACAATTGTAGTTGTCGGTCTTTACATAATTCTGCAGAAGCCGAGCGTGCATGCGCGAAGAGGGAGTGAAGACCATCGAACCAACATTGATGTTTGGATGCTTAGCATCAAGGTCTTGCGCAACACCAGCGAAGATGTAAGGCTCGCACACTGGACCATCCTCTAGGAAGTCGTCGAGATGCAGCTTCTCCGGTATGCATTCTTGTATCGGCGCAAGCTCAAACATCTCATCCATGTTCGACAGCGGAAAAGCATCAGCGTCCAAGAACAGTATGCGCTCGAACTCCGTCTCTTTCCACATGTTGAGCTTGGCAAAGAGGTCTTTCCATCGGTCTTCTACGCCGTCGACATTGCACTCCCAATGAAGAGGTGGGAGTTCGCGGACTAGCGCGCCAGCTCCTTTGAGCAGCGCACGTTGCTCGTCTGTGACATACTCGGCTACGAAGACGATGAAGGGGTGCTTCTTGCTACGTGTGCGGGACGACCAGAGTAGGCGGTAAATGAGCGAGTGGATAGCGAGGAAATATGGGTCCTTCAGGGAGGGATTGCGAGTAGCGAGGAAGGTCGCATAAGCATACCCTCTCGGACCATTGGGATTGTAGTTGCGAGGCTTCTGCGTCAGGTACTTTTGAAGCACTGCAGTAGGAAGATCGAGTTGGAGTTCATCTTGGAAATTGTATTTCGTTCCGGGTACGTGTTCCGTACTAAATGGTGGCGAGGCTCCCGCGAAGGAAGGTTCCGGTTGAAGGCCTGAAGCGGAATGTGCGTTGGCTAAACTGGACGGCCGAATACCGTCTAGTAGGCCCTTCTCTCCGATTGCGGATGCATCGCCATGGTTGGAGACACGGTGCCCGTCAGATGGCAGGATCTCGATCCCGTCAATGTGCCCGTCTCCATGCGCATATGAGAATCCATATCGGTGTTGTGCAACAAGGTATACGGTTCCGAGACAAGCAAGTGTCGCTAGGGTAATGTTGTGTCGCCGTCGCATAATGTGTACGGAAGTACAGTTCAGGTTTCGCGATGGACCTTTAGTCAGGTCTAGATGCAACCTTCGTGAAAAGGAGAGGGGAACTTCACATGCGCATTTGGTCAAACTGCTAGGGCGCCGAGCCGTGTCGTAGTCCAGCCGACAACGAGGTGCATATCGCCTGAATGGAACAGTGACACTGACGACGACCTGTTGATCCTGATCAAAGTCCCAACACGATTGAGAGCAAGGGTCGAGTTAATCACGCACGGTGATGTCGCCAATTCCGGGCGCTGCCGTCAGCATGATCGGCAGGCGAGCAGGGACCACCAGTCCATGCCGAGCAAGTACCCCATGGGGCGCCGCTTCGGAGCAAACTCCACTTTGGATCACCAATAAACATTTGCACCAACATGATAATGCATCTTACCCGTTTAGCACCTGCAGTAGCGCCGTGACGGGTTGCCCCTGGCGTGCCAACATCACATGAAGCCGAGCCAAAAGTGTCTAGAGGAGTCGATAGTCGGCCAGCGCATTGCGATGACACAAACGAAAAATTGTGGACGAAGACTGACTCGATTTCTTCTAACGTACAGAGTAACTGCGCTGGTGTTTGGGAGGGGAAACTTGTGGCTGGATGGTGCATCTGTAAAGCCAATTTGCCAATTTGACGCTGGGCTCATCCACTAGTTTCGTGACAACCTCGGCTGCATAGAGCGTAATGGGAAGGATAATTAGCTGCGATAGCCAAAATGCAGGCTCGAGCCCCATAGGCCCTCCCTTGGGAAGCGGGAACTTGTCGACCCATCCTGGAAGACCGTCCTGGTGGAATGGTCTTGAAAGCCCAACCGCGGCATAAATTCGGTCTCCTATTGTCCAGATGACTAGGCCATGAACTAGGTACAGCGCGAATGAGATGCGCGCGAGATACTGGCAAAACCCGGTTTCGAAGAAGCGCTTCAGCCATGGCAGTCGTGGAATCGACGCTACGGCTAAGAACGCAGCCCAGAAGAGGTAGAACCATTTGGCATCAAAGACAGCTTGGGGCTTGAGATGCGACAGCCAGATCCATCCGGGAGACTTTGAGATGAGTACCGTGCGATCGATATCGGGTGCATCGAATGCTGGTACACCGCCGAGATAAAGTGCAGCGATGAACAGATGGAAGAATATGAGCTCCTTGAACCCAGCCAGCGCACTGAGGAATTGTGGAAGCTGATCTTCTTCGGCGAGCAGGTCAAGGTCGCAGAGCAACATTCCAGATATGAACAGTGCTCCGTAGAAGCCATCTACCACATACAGGAAGTAGAAAGCCAGAGCCACCTGGCACATGAGGCGAGCATTGCGTGTGCATCGGGAAAGAGCGGAGAGTGCGGTGTAGACGATGATGGATCCTTTGAACTCGATCGGAATCGACCAGGAATGAGGGTGGTATGGCTCCGTGAATTCGTAGATGTTCGTGGAGAAGACGAAGCTGTAATTCTTGAAAGTTCGATACCAGCTGACAACATCCTCGCGGAACGTAGGTTCCATATTGCGCATATCGACAACGATTCCACTCCAATGGCGAAACGACATCCACGCAAAGGTGACGACGATGATGGGAAGGTATAGTCGAAGCCAGCGGCGGAAAAGGGCAGAGCCGACGGTGTTTGACGCGTTTGAGATCTGGCCCTCATGAATTTGTTGTAGGCTCTTGAGCGAAAGGACATATCCTGAGATGACGAAAAAGATAGCCACTGCGAAGTGGCCACCGGAGAATATGAGTCGAAAGAATGGAAACGCTGCTGAGTAGTATTTTCCATCGTATCCAAATGAGGTTTCGAATACTTGATTGCCCTTGCCGCCATGAGACCAAAGTTGATTATGGTGCAGGTACACCAAGAACGCCGCAAAGCCTCTAAGACCATCCAGCCATGCTGTTGGTCTTGCAGGTTTGCTCTTCGTTATCGAGCGTAAGCTCAAGAACTCGGGACGCACTGCGTTGAGACTCAATTTTGTTGTTCGTACTGGTTTCCATATTGTCGGCGAGAGTTTGACCTCGTCAAGGCAGCCTTTGTCGAGCAAGCCCTGGTGCGTGGCTGGCATAGCTGAATCCGAAGCGGTAGCAGAAGTGATGGCGACTGTGGTTTCAATCGAATGTAAAGATCAATATCTAAGAATCCCACAAACGCTTGGTACAGGAGCGAATGGTGCGGGTGTCGCGCGAGGCTAGAGAACGCGTAGTTTTCTGACGGGAGCTATGCCTTTAGCTTACCTCAACCGAGGCAGCATGTGTGGTTCACAACGGTAAGTTTAATAAAGTGATCGTCCAGGTCGAGCCGATCATGCAAGCGGGGAATGTTGAACTTGGCATCATACCCCAGAGGGATCCGAGGTTGCACCATCTTGTGAAGTTCAACAGCCCACGAATCAAGACAGTTTGATATCATAGACAATACAGTTGGGCCGTTCCTGATGAGAGACGTCCGGTGCGGGGCTTGAGTGGGGATACTACCGTTTGTGTCGACGCCTCCGACCATCTTGCAGGGATCATCTAGAGAAGCTTTAGCCTAGGCGTCTTGACCCAACATCGCCGCCGCAACGATGCAGGCGGCTCCTTAGCCATGCGACGCACATGCGCTATTGAACTCCCGTCACGAGGCTGGTCCTGCATTCTCAACAGTTGTACCGATGTACCGAGGAAGTAGAGCTGCGCGGGGATTGGTGGGCGCAAGGGCCGAATGTGAAAACGACAGGAGGGTCTTGGAAAAGATAGTCAGTGAGCTAATCTCTCAAAGACTCAGGATGGCTGGGTCGAAATAGTCGCCTGCTTTTTCGTAATAACCACAGCATGCGCACGCGACCCAGGGCACCTCCACCCAAGCTTCACCTCAATATTGCAATGGCTCCCCATTCCCCAATTGCAGCGCACTTCTCGGGCAAGCTCACGAGCCAAGTGCGAAGGGTCCTGCCTGCATATCTTGCCCTGCTTTTTATCTTCTTGTTCTTCGCCAATACACACTTCTTTACTACACCCATTCGGGCTGCCAACAATTACAGGCGCGAGCTCAGATATCAACAGCCACTGCAGCTAAAAAGTGATGTGATTCCGAGGAAGATTTGGCAGACATGGAAGGTCGGCCCTCTAGGCTTCGAGAAGCGCGACTCGGATTCAGCGAAGACCTGGCCGGCGAAGAACCCCCGGTATCGGTACGAGGTTTTGACCGACGATAACGCGAACGATTACCTCGAATTCCACTACGGCGCTCATGGTATCAACAGACCAGACCTTGTCAACCTTTACCGAGAGCTTAACATAACGATCATCAAGGCTGACTTGCTTCGTTATCTCGTCATGTACGCCGAGGGTGGTGTGTATGCCGATATAGATGTGGAATGTCTCCGTCCTATCGATCGTTTCATACCCGAGCGGTACATTGAGGAGGAGGTCGATATGATTATTGGTGTCGAGATTGACGAGCCAACCTTCGCCGAGCACCCCATCCTTGGTGGCAAGTGCAAGTCCTTTTGCCAATGGACGTTCGCCGCCAAGCCCAGACTGCCAGTCATGATGAGGCTCATGGAGAACATACAAGCGTGGCTACATGAGCTGTCGCATCAGAAAGAAGTCGAGATTTCAGAGCTGCAGCTAGACTTCGACGAGGTCATAAGCGGGACGGGTCCTTCCGCCTTCACGAAGGCCGTACTGGAGCAGATGACTGCACAGAACCAAGGCAAGCCGGTTACCTGGGACCTCTTCCACAATCTTGCTGAGTCAAGGCTCGTCAATGGCATCCTGGTGTTGAATGTGGAGGCTTTCGCAGCCGGCCAAGGTCACTCGGACTCTGGTAACCATGACTCAAGGGGGGCTTTGGTCAAGCATCATTACCATGCTTCGGGATGGCCCACACTTCATCCGCGCCGCAACCACCCCATGTACGGCGAGGTAGAACAGTGTAACTGGAAGCCAGAGTGTGTAGCAGAATGGGTAAGTCTGGCAGCGACCCACTTCATACACGCAACTTTACTGACATCGCATAGGACAAAAATGTCGCTGAATGGGACACGCTGCCTAAAGAAGAGCAGGATAAGCGCATCGCTAGCAAACCGGCACCGCCCGGTGGCATCAAGCCTCACTAGACTTGAGCATCTTGTGTATGTATGGACGAAAGGTGTCCAAAACTGTGTATATCGGGGTCTGCAGTGCTGCTGCATCGGGTCGGCGCGTGCGGGATGGAGCGGAGGTGTCGGGTGTTACCCATCGCGTCGTCAGCTCGTGGTAGGGCGCGGTTCGTATCGAGCTCCAGAAGTCCAAGCGTAGCGCCGCGCAGTCTCGTACTCAACGGCCGCTATCGCCGCGGGTGTCGTTGGTGGTAGCTAGGAGCCGTGGTGATGGAGAGGTAGCGGAGCTCGCGTCTATGGACGATCAAAGATATCTTGGGGGCGTGACGTCATCGACGCGTCGGCCTACCACACGAATAATGTAATGTCATATGAATACAGCACAACAAGCAATTGCTTCGCCCCGCCTTGATGCATTCGCACGTCCTTCTCGCCCACGATCTCGTCTCTGAACCTACGCCTTGTGAAGATTGGGGTGAGAGATGGCCGTCACTCAGGCCACTGTTGAGAAGGCAAACCTCCACGTCGCTCAAACAGCCGCGTGAGATATGCCTCCTTCCAATCGCTCACGGTACACTTCGAACTTTTATCATTGCACATGGATGGCCCCGGATCCTGCCGTTACTTATGCGACGATATTTCCTACTAACATCATCATACCTGGGGTATCGTCTCCGATACATTAACGATAAGTACAACCAAGGACACATTTGAGCTTCGACCTCGAAAGAAACAACTAAATCGTCTGCTGGACACTCAACGTAGAGGCTACGTTCTCAACAGCGCATGGGTATGCCCGCCCACTAGTGGTACCAGCAAGTGGCTTGATCTCAACGTTCGCGGCCTCAATGCTAGGATGTGGGTCCAGATTTGGGCCCCAGGATAATGCGTACTACTGTCTAGACTGTGCTAGCCCGTTCTTTCTGATCGAGTTTGATATTCGCATCTCCAATCGGTTCCCACTTTGAGAAGTTCAATAATTTGCACACCCAAATATGTGTCGCGCCAGCGCGTCTATTCGTCACGAAGTGACTTGCCTGTGCTGTTCCCGCTGTTGTCGAGAAAGACATCATGAAAGGCGGATGAATATGACAGCTTCTCTTCCATCCTGACCGAGCGGGAGTTTGGTGCTTCCCGATGGATGAAATCCAGTGCACCGAAACCTCTAGCACGTATAGAAAAGGGACATGAACTCATTAATCAGGCACCATTCTTGCGCGAAAATGGGAAACAGCAAGCCCCTTGTACAACTAGATCCGCATATCTTTCACGACACGTACAGCTGGGTCTCTCTGCTTACCTTGCGAACGCAGCACTGAGAAATCTATTCCATCTGTCGCCCACGCAATCGCCTAAGTGGATAGCCGCTCAGGCCACAGTACTATAGAGCATGACATTCATTCACACTGCCCATACAATGTGTTAACCGCATTGATATACTCAACACCGGTACTCAGAGCTGCCACTAACGCCCGGAATTATTCTCTACAATTCCCAGTCATATTGACAGACCATCCTTGGCAGCGCAGATGTCCCGTCAATCTTCGCACAATTGGGAAACGCGGCCGCAAACCGAAATGAGTTCGACGGACGTCGGTACACAGGAACACTTCGTATCCGAGCTAAAGACAGGATTCCACACCACTACGTCTAGTTTCACTGGCGAGAAGAGTGCGGATGAGAGCCATCGCAATGACCGCATCCAGAGACTTAGCTTGAGTCGGCCTCACACCACACCCTCAGCAGGTGCTGTAGACATCAGTTTGAAAGACAACGACCTAATCCGCAGCTCAACACACAATTCGACTTCTTCGAGTCCGCACTTCCTCAACCCGGGCGAATGGCTACAGCATTGCCCCCAAATGGCTTGACCGGCTCGTCATCGCAAGGACACTCAAAGACACATGTCTGTCCAGCGAAGCTCTTCCAGTCAGCTCCAATGCGGATGTTCGCGGCACCAGGTAAACGCTCAACTTCTCCAACCGAGTCGATCGGCTCTAGCTATTCCTGGCGGTCTGGCAGAGCAGGCGTGCACGGTCGACTTCGTAAAAAACCACAAGGACCGGGTATGACAGAATCATATGCAGATAGAGGTCAGGGTGTCCCCGAGATTATCGATCAAGAACAAAGAGGGCGGAGTAGGGCACGGGAACAGGAAAGAGAGAAGCGGCCTGGTCTTGCACGCAGACTCTTTAGACGCTTCACAAGCTCCGATGTAGATGCGCAGAGAGACGAGCCGAGAAAACCAAGCACTGGAGATGTATACAGCTTGAAACGTGGTAAACGAAGGAGTACCAATTTCGGCTTCTGATCCAGAGCTCAGGAATATGGCACGTGACGTCATGAAGCAGCCATGGATATAGCCAGACGATGTAAAGCCACTGTCTTGGGGGATAGAAGCGGCCTCAATGCTGAGCCTACCAACAAGGTGTTGGGAGGTGGTATGTCTGCTCCATGAGAAGATAGCGTCGAGAAGGAAGGGGCCCGTATGTCAAGCGCGCGTGATGACCTCATTCACGTGATGTCTATCTGGCTGGTATTAGTGTAGTGTAGATTACATATGTACTGAGCCCGAGTCCTATAAGTGGACTGTCTCGCATTTCATAAATCGAGCATCGTGAGAAGAGAAGACGCGACGCCAACGCGAATGTCCTGTCAAGTCCGCACGTCCTGCCCAGGTGAGTTTAGTGTCTTCCAAACTGTGCACGGGCACCTGGGCAATGACGTCCCCATCGCGAACGCGCCCGACCTTGGATAGCTGCCAATCTTCCCACTTCCCTTCCAGCTCCTCATCTCCTTCTACTTGTTTTCGTCAAATCACGTCAGGAATTCGCCCACCATGGTCCGTAGTCGTTCGTGACAGCCATGCGGCGGCGGGGTAAATTAATTTTAGCTGGGTGCAACGCGCCCGCGTGGTGGCTTAGCGCGAAGATGGGACGCCGCACTGCCGTTCGCTCACCCTCGTGACAGCTTACGCCGCTAATGCACTTCTCACTTCCTGCGACTTCATTGCAGTCGATCGACAGCGATTGTGGTCAAACTTTCTGGACAGTTTGCGACGCCGTTTGAATACGAGAGGCCGCTATGGACCATGTCAGCGCATCCCTCGAACTCCTTCATCGTACGTGTCACCGCCAATTACCGCTGTTCTAAGCTTCATGCATTTCACGACATTGTGCAAGAGATGCCTGAACTAGAAGGGGCTTAACTAATCGTTTGTCTGCTCTCAACACGGAACAGAAGACAATGGGGGCCAAATTCACGATGCTAACGTCGCTGTAGTCGTTTGCGCAACTTTGATCTTTGTCCGCGACGTCACGAAAGACACAGGCGGCGTGACTAATACAACGAACTTTTTGAACGAGACGCTTGTGTTCTTGGACGTGTTTTCGAATGTCTGTTTCAGCGACTCAACCGGAGTGTTACGCGATAGTCGTGTGCATCGTATCTTAACAAGTGATGTAGAGTACTCTCTTTACTCGCTCAACAAGTCTCTAGCCGCGCACCGGGAAGCGTGGAGGTACATCGGCAAGAGTCCCACCCCCGGTGCGGGCCAAAGAAGCATTGAGGACCTGAAGCGCGGTCGCGCCGTGTCACTAGATGTTCAGCATGAAAAGAAAAGTTGGAGAGACGAAATGAAAGAACGCTCGCAACTTTGGCGAGAAAAGGCGCGACCGGGGCTATATAAAGCATTGTTTGGGGAAGAGGAGATGGCCACACTCACCTTGAATTGCTTGCAATGGACGCATCGGCTTCGTCAAACTCTGGAAATTGTCTTCCTTGGCATCGGACCTCCGGATCCAGGATTCGGTAATTCCAGGCAGGCTGCTATCCTTGGCGTGGCAGAACAACTCGAACGCCAGCATCGAGCAGGTGCAGAGCCTTCGGGCGACTATACTGCGCTCGTTGGTGCGCTCAGAGGAACGATCAGCACTGGGCAGCCATCACACGGCCTTATCAAGACGATATACGATGACGGTGGAGATGAAGTCGACGTTCTTGTCGAAACGCGATCGGACGACGAGACGCCTGCCGAGTACATGTGTCACTTGACGTGGTTGCTACAGGCTCCCCATCAGACTGATGTATCCGTCAAGAGCGACGCCCAGAACGGCTACCAGCTGCACACATTAAGCTGTCTGGGTTTCATCGATGATCCACTCAACAGAAGGAGTCTGATCGTCTACCGCGCGCCGCAAAGCCATCCTTGGGCATCAAACCCACCGTCTTTGTATGATATGATCTCGAAGGGCCCGACCGCGAGACCCTCAATAGGAAGTCGCTTTCTCATCGCAAGGGCGCTGACAAGCACACTACTCGAGTCGCATGCGTCCGGATGGGTTCATGGGAACGTACAGTCGCGCAGTATCGTAATGCTGCCAAGATCGTTTAACGATCTCGAACTGTCTCCCTTCTTTGTTGGCTGGGGTGTCCTCCAACCTCTCGAGGCTACGCACTTCCCATTGGAGCCGAACCTGTACCGCCACCACGACCGTTTTGGCCGGCCATCTTCCGAATATTCCAACGAGCATGAGATCTACTCACTGGGCGTGGTGCTTCTAGAGCTTGGGCTATGGCGGACGATGGCGAAAGTCTTCGCTCGCCGCATAGAGAAGTTCCCGATCTTTGGCATTGTACAGCAGCAGGAGCTCTTTAATCGTATACACAATGCGACACTAGATTGGGCCAACAGTACCGAAATCGAGAGGGAGATGGGGAAGGCTTATGCACAAGTCGTGCTGAAGTGTCTCACTTGGCACTACGAGGATCCAGTCGAAGGCATGATTGAGTTCCGAAAGCAAGTCGTCGACGTGTTGACCACAGGATGTGGATTATAGCTGATGAACTGCTTCTCGACATCAACCTCAATCAAATTGCGACACATACCAGATTTGAGAGCGATCAACACTAGCGACTGAGGATGAGGAGGGGTTGCGCAAATAGAGCAATGTCGTCAGCGGAAAGAGTCCTACGCCAAACACCAAATACAAGCGCGCATGCAAACAGCAACGAGTGTGTCGACATACAAACCTCTGAGGCGGGGAAAGTGATGTTTCGTGTGCTATATGTTGGCGCTTCGACCTTACATCCATCGTTGGATCGCTCCATCCTCTTGTTCACTATATACACTACAGCAGTACATGGAAGCCTAGGCTTTCAACTCACTTATCGATTACGATGTTCGTGGTCCTTCCACTGGTCTCCGCGCCAAGTGAGCTCCCTGCATCACTGTCCGGAAAATGCTATGACCACACGCGGCCAGCGTCCGTCATTGCAGGCTTCTCGGAACCGTTATGACGTTGCGAAAATTATATTAACTCGCCATGAGCCCGTTCAGGAGATGCAATCGAGCACGGGTACCCAGAAGGTGCTTCGTCTACTGATAAATAGCCCGTCTCTTGATACACTCAAGCCCCTTGTCCACACTCCACCCTTGCACCCACCAGCGCTCTCAAAGAATCGGTTTCACCGGCTGTACCGCGCGACTACCGCTCTCCTCGCAAACCGCCCCGCCCTCACATCTTCCGACAAGCGCCTAAAAGACTGCACCGACCCGACGGACTCTGCCCGCATCACGCAACCACAAGGCCAAACTCCAATCGTCGCAATGTCCAACTTGAACGAAGAATACGGTCCTGAAGACATGGCCTGGGTCGCGGCCGATGTCCAGATGAGGGAAGAACAAGATCTGAACCGTGCCCTTGAAGCAAGTCGAGCTTCCGCGGGAAGCGGGGTACCACCGCGTCCAACGAGTGCTAGGGTCACAAGACAGTCCGAGGCGGAGGACGAAGAGACTCTTGTTGCACTTGACGTTAGCCGGATAGAAGCAGAAGAGGCGGCCCGGAGACGCAATGCAGACGCGGTGGCGGATCAACAACGCCTTCTCGAAGCTCAAAGGCAATCGGAGCGTGAAGCCCAAGCTGCCGATCAGGAACGCGATGATACTCTTATTGCGCTGTCAATCAGTCAGGGAGAGGCAGAAGAGGCGGATCGGAGACGCAATGCAGACGCAGAGGCGGACCAACAACGGCTTCTCGAAGCTCAGAGGCAGTCGGCGCGTGAAGCACTAGCCGCTGATCAAGAACGTGAGATTACCCGGAAAGCTGAGCTGCAGTCTTTGAAAGATGAACGTGCTCGAGCTCAAGCTGCGCGATTACGCCAAGAGGCCTTGGATCAGGCCATTGTCGAGAGCAAGGTGGCAGCCGAGACTGAGCAGCAGCGACACGCACAACAGTCTACACGCCTCCTGGAGACATACGCTGTGCACGGCTTGAGTGAAGACGAGCAGCTGCAGATGGCGATAAGAAAGAGTCAAGATGAAGAGCATTCTCGCCAAGTTGCACACGTCGGGCAAGTTCGAGAGGACATGCTTCGCTGGGTGAACGAGCAGGGGCGGACCTCTGCATCATTGGGCGAACCATCAGGCGAGCTATCGGCTTCTCAGCATCTAGAAGAACATCCAGTGTTGGGGGCCATAGCGTCTTATCCTCCAGGTCCGGTCACTGAGCAGCAACAAAGGAGCGTGGCCGATGCTCAGGAGGTCATTGACAACCCGAATGTACTCTATCGGCCTTTAACACCGATCACAGAGGCATCCGCATCGCGACCAGCAAGTCTGCGACGAGCGACACATCCCCGAGCCCTAATCCCTGGCCTCATCGTCGCCACACACATGATGGATCACAACAGGGTGGATGCGACACTTTCACACCCACCGGGCGGAATTCCTACGCCACTGGCCTCCGAAAGAAGCACATCGTCCATCCGGTCGGTTTCCTCAGGCCGTCCACCGTCCTACCAGACAGTAGAAGAGAACCCTGCGCGGAGAGTGGAGTCGTTTGAAGTACCTCACGATATCCCGAACGAGTCGCAAACTAGCGAAGAGCCTCCTCAATACCCTGGTGCTTACCCTCCGTCTCCTGCCCAGGCTGGTTCGGCGGCTCCCAGTATAGTGGTCAATGCAAGGCCAATTGTGGGGTCACACTTATTACCAGGCGCATATCCCCCTTCGTACGCGAGTAGTAGAGCACCTCGCAGCGCTGCGGGAACAAGTCACGAGACGCCTGTGCAAGATAGTGTTGTAGCTCATCAGTCATTGGGCAACAGGGCATCCAGCATCACTTCTTCGGTGACCTCATTCCAGGGCCAAATCGCGGAAAACAGTCATTCGCGGGGAACCAACGTGTCTATGCGAAGTGAATCGTTTCCCGGCGCATATCCGCCATCGTCGCAAGCAAGTGGTGTACCGAGTCGACCGGATACGGTTTCATCTGGAGGGACGTTCTTCACAGCCCCGGAAACGCAACCACATCCGCGCCAAGCAAGACCACAGTCTGCTCTCTCTGATCTCTGGAATCATCGGGATCGAAATAAGCATCAGCGCGAAGGGCCTGAACCTCGTCCTTTCACACCGGTTTCGGCGTCTTCACGCCTAAGCGAAAGTTCATCTGCCGTTCGACCGCCTTCATCTCGAACGTCTCAGGGTAGTAATGTTGCGCGGAAGCCGGTTGCAAAGTATCAGCATGCCACCTCCGTGTCTGCTGAGCGACCAGCGCCAGCGACTGCTGCCGATGCTATCACTCCGTCGGACGTGATATCGTCGGGCCTGCAGCAGGGCACGACAATAATTACTTTCAACGCTCCGGTGACCATCAATAACTTTCCCGAAGAGCCCAAGCCCTCCCAGAATTTATTGAAGCAAGTCTTCACCAAGGGCAGGCAGACTAACAAGGGCATGAAAGCTTTTGATCAGAAAGGGGCAGGACTTTACTTGAACGGTGTAGCTGAAGCGACAAGCAACCTTTGGAAGAATAAGAGGAAGATATTTCCTGCCAAGTCTTCCAAATCAGCTGCAAATGCTGTGATGAACGAAGGGAGGGAAATCGACCGTCTTCCTGTTTCCCTGGCTCATGACGACGTGGGCACTATCGCCAGTCCTTGGCCTGCGAGACAGCGTCTGCACGTCGTGAACGCAGATCCAACGCGCTCGGGTTTGAGCACACCTGAAACCACAAGGCCGCTGCAATCAGAAATGCCCATACAGCAGAGTGAAGAGGCCGTCACTCCTCGACCATCTACATTGCAGCGGTCGGTAACGCCACCTCCGCTGACAGCGACGATACCGTCGAGGCCAATGTCGCTGGATCAATCGACCGTGTCACAGATTTCGGACGTGAACGGCAATGCAGTAACTCCGCCTAGCGTCTGTCAATCGAGGGTGAGAAGCTCGATGGATAGTTTCCGGTGCGCTTCCGAATTGCGCCCTCAGCCGCTGGATATTCGCAAGCAGCCTCCTCCTGTTCCACCAAAGCCTTTGGAACTGTCGAGCCTTATCACGCGTACAGCACGTTCTCCGCCCCATCTTCCTGCGAGCCGCAACCCGATGACGAGGCGTATGCTCAGCGAACAAGAAGAAGGGCCTGGATGGGTACAGCAACCAGTGCATCTTCCCGTCATAAATCCGACCCAAGGACCAACGATAGGCTCACCGGATTCCATGACGGTGATACCCCCAACACCTCGGCGGATCAACGTAGATTTGAACCGGCGCAGTCAGTTTGGGCCAATTGACACGAGCCTGGCGAACGTGCCTCCCGGTGAACGTCGTATCGACGAGTTCAATTCGCGATCGATGATGGACTTGGGCATGATGGGCCAAGTAGGCAATCCTGCCATAATGGAGCCACTGCGTGGACAGTACGAGCAGACCTATGCCCGTCCACCGCACGTGCAGCAGGAAAGGCTGAACTCAGATGCGAGGGCAAGGAAGAAGGAAAAGGACACTCAGAAGGCTTTACGAAAGCAGTTTTGAAGGTTGAGGAGGCACGGAAAAGTTATCATGGGACGGAGAAAGAGTCACCATCGGACTATTCTAGCCTCATTTTACAAAGTATCGCAAACAATTGTATATCATTTTTCATCTCTGAAGCGGTTGCGGTGATATTATAACATCGTCATAATGTTGGCACAGCTCAACAGGCTTGGAGATCTACGACTTCCCGTTTCCTCTGTGTGTCAACCGGGGATGAACACAGATAACGTTACCCGACATCGCGCGCGTGAGTGGTGGGATAGTGACCCACTTGGGCAGGGGTGTCGGCCTCTCCAACATTTCCCGATCGATAAGCAACGGAGATACTCGCCATGGCAATAAGAGTGAACATGACGCTGCAAACCCAAAGGGAATAAGTATCCGAGTGTCAGGCGCGGGACGATCTTGATACACGTTTCGAGAGTTCTTCCGCCTTTTCTAACAAATCCAAGCGCATGATGGGGTCGATGGACGTTACAAGTGGTATGAAAACGGTATGCGATCAATGTGAACAGTCAAAGAGTTCTATTAACCCCAAATAGAGCTGGAATCGTTTAGTGCGGTTTGTCGCAGCCGAAGACGGTGCTGAGCATATCGGCGAGCCCATCGATGCTGAGCTGGATGGTATGTCGATTTCCAATCTCTACTTGCTATGTCTAACGAGCTGCAGTCGGCGCAGCTCTTGCTTCAGGATCGGAAGTCAAAGTCCGCGTCTTCACAGGATCGTCGGTACTCAACGTGGATACCCAGCCAACATTAGTGATCTACACGATATCAAGACTACTGCCACCGCTTTCAAAAGCCGAAGTCGGTACCATTCGCTGTGTCGGTCTCAATTACCGGAAGCATGCTAAAGAGATGAACTTGGACCTTCCCGACCATCCTACCCTGTTCTTCAAGCCTTCGACATGCCTCGGTGCACCCAACGCTCCTTTGGTGATCCCGCATCAGGCGACGGATGGCCAGGCCGATTATGAAGCCGAGCTTGCGGTTGTCATTGGGAAGCCAGCCAAGAACGTGAGCAAAGAAGATGCGATGGATTATGTGCTCGGCTACACATGTTCAAATGACGTGACAGCGCGAGTCCACCAGTTCAATGGCGCACAATGGGGGTTCGGCAAGGGCTTCGATGGCTTCGCGCCACTAGGTCCATGTCTTGTATCCGCGTCATCGATTCCAAATCCAGGCGACATTGAGCTCAAGACGGTACTCAACGGCGAGACGATGCAGTACTCGCTGGCGAATGATATGATCTTCAGCATAACAGAGATAGTGGCATATTTGAGTCAAGGAACGACGCTGGAGCCAGGTACTGTGATCATGACGGGTACGCCGCATGGCATTGGTGTGAGCAAAGTGCCGAAGGTATGGCTCAAACCAGGAGATGATCTGAGGATTGTAATGAGTCATGGTATGGGAAGTCTGGTTACACCCGTAGCTTATGAGAAGCTTAGAGTATATACTGACAGCGAGACTACATGGCACATTAGTGGAACAGTAATACCATTTTCCTAGAGAGCGACGAAATATCCCATAAATATGATTGCGCAATTGGCGGGGAATGCAGTATCGAAGAAGCGTAATGCGCTATTGGAAGCCGAATAGCATCTGCTCTTGTGTGATGTTATCCAGTACATTCTCCCAGTGCTGCAGATCGGCTGGCTCAAACAAGGTGGTGAAAGATGGGTCACCCCATGGAGGCGCATGCCATTGGAAGGGCCCACCTGCACCTATCGCCGGCAGATCTGGCGCCGTTACCGAGCTATCTTCCGTATAGGGTGATGTCAGGTCGATGGTATTGGCGCCATGCACGGCAGGTGGCGCATTGTCTGCTGTGTTGGGACGTGTTTCAGTACGACTAGCACGAAACTGATTCGCTTTCTTGATGCAGAGTTCAATAATTTTGACCTCAGCTAGCGCGAACTCATTGAGCCAGATATCAGCTCTTTGCATCTCACAATATGCGGAGAGATCCTCTAGTATCGCGCGACATTTAGGCGAGTGTGGATCTTTGACAGCGATTATTCCGAGGACTAAAGCACTGTTGAAGAGGTGGTGTGGACCCAAAGTCCATTTCAGACGGTCATTCAATGGCTGTTGGAAATAATCGATGCGCATGGCAAGGTCAGCGCATGCCGACGATATGCACGCATCGTGACTATGTCTGAAGCGATTCGTGATACTTTGGCGCAGCAAGTACGGTCGATGAAGCGTGACGCGGGCGAAGTGGTACATGGAGTGGAGATGCAGGCGATTCCAGTAAAGAAAAGGGTGCGTGCCATCCATAGATGTATCTGGGGTTTTCAGGTGATAGTAGTCCGGTAACCTGGCCTCCCAGTCGATAATCTCATGATCTAGCGAAATGACTGTGTCGTAAGACACGGTGAAGAGACCAAAGCAACGCTCTTGAATGCTGCCGATAATCTTTGCCAGGTCGTGTGCGAGAAAGTTGTAGACGCTCAGAGTAGGCTCAGATATTGGCAGGTCTGGAATGGAGGATGTGTCCTCGTCCGGTTGGTCGTCCAACCAGACGTTGGTGGCTCTTTTGACGAGACATTGCTGGTCAACTATGGCGAAAGGACGGCCGATGGCAAGCGCGATAGTCTTATCCAAGGTGTAAAGGTGGCTCCACAGACGCCGTCGGGTTTCGGTCTCTTTACGCGAGAGACGCCAACGTTCGCCATCGATGTGCATGCCTTGTGCTTGGGCCATACGCATGGCAAAACTGGTTGTTAGCCAAGCCTCCGGAACTCTTCGCAAATGGATCAGATAACGTGTGACCAGAAGACCGGCACGAACAAGATCTGTCGACTCTCCATAGAATGTGGGTGCAATGACTATAGCGCGTCTTGCTGCCCAGTAGAAGCGTAGTGATGTCTCTTGAAGCTCACGTTGCAATTCGCCATTCTTTGGATGAGGGCAGTCGAGGAAGACACCGTACGCAAGCACAATGAACAGCAATGCCAGCCACCTGAGATCGATAGATGCATAGTCATCGAAGCCGAATTTACGCTCCCAGAACTCGTCATACTTCAATTTAAAAGACTGCGGATGGATGGCGTCTATGGTCCAGTTCAGCTCTTCAAGAAAGACATGTACGAGGCGATCGACACTGGCTTTGTTGCGTGGCAGCAAACCCAGTAAATCCCAGATCTGCGAGAAAGGGCCTCCAACATCGCGAAAAGATTGCGCTGAGGCAGCAGCATGTCGTATACCCGAAGATAGATCCGGTGCGGGCTCTTCTATGATTTTTGCTGCAGCTTGAGGTCCAAAATACGATGAGCCGAAGAAGGATGGCGCATCTCGACTGCGGAAGAGATTGCCGACTTGTGCGTCTCTGGGCTCGGGTGAGTTTCTGGCACGCGTCGAAGTGGTCCGTGTGTCTTCGCAGTCACATTAGCACCGATCTTTGCAATGAGCGTGTCGACAAGGCTCTCGCATTCTGCTGCGTGAAGGCCAGCGCCGATACAAACGTACCTGTAGGATTCTCTGAGGATACATCGTCATTCAGAGGGATAGCGGCGACCCGTGAAGTTTGCCGACGACGAGCTTCAGCCTCGTCGCTGTACGTGCAGCTCGAGGCAACGTCGCGTCTGCTGCAGTTGAAGCATGGCAGCTCTCCGTCGCACTGCGTAGGCCATCAGCTACCTATCCGCTGCATTGAGCATTGCTCGTTGAATGATTGCAATCATTCATCACAGAAGCGCTGCGAAGATGGCTGGGTTGGAGGGTCGTCATTCACAACGCGTTATCGCGCGGCGAAGCTCGGGGCGACTGCTTACGTCATACGCACCTTTTGCTTGCGCCGATGACACGCGACGCAACTCTTCGCTTGTCGACCTCTCTTCCTCTTCTTCGTCGATGGACCTTCGTCACCTCTGTTCATCTCTCCCTCGTATCGCGTCTCCGTCATGTTGATGATTCCCGATAACGCTGGGATTTAGCCGATAGTATCTCTATCGGACGCCTGTCTGCCAATGTTCCTAGCGCATTCTTTATGCGTATCATGCCCACTTTAGCAGGGCTCGCTATCTTCCCGCGTCGGACAATTCCCTAGGCACCGATCGGCAATAACGATGTTCCAGGTCAAGATGAACGGTATAAGGTATATGTCATGGCAGATGGGTCTGGGTTGGATTGCAAGCCTGCATCATGAGCTTTCCGTCTCGTCTACCCGCAGAAGACGACTCTACCGACACCATGTCGCATCCAACCCCGGATCATAAGGCCTTTGATGGCTCAGTTCACGAGAAGGATACCCAGATTGGCGCTAGCGAAGAGATTCACATTGATCCAGTCGCTGAGAAAAAGGTATAAGCGATGCACCCAAGACTGGGTGTCACGTGTTGACTAAGATCAACAGCTCATTCGCAAATTGGACCTCATACTATCTCCGATGATGGTCTTGGTGTTTCTGGTATGCCACATACAATCTCGAGTTCACTCCAAGAAGCCTAACACGCATGCTTCAGGTGGCCTACCTTGACCGGTCCAACATCGGTACACACATCTCCCAATGATAGATTTCCAAAGTCATTTGCTTATAGCGCGCAGGGAATGCTGCCATCGCAGGCATGAACGAGGATCTAGGACTCACCGGTAACCGTCTAAACGTTGCCGTAACGCTCTTTTACGTCACCTACATCGCCTTCGAGGTTCCAGCCTCTATATTGTTAAAGAAGCTGCGACCATCCCGCTTAATCCCAACATTCATCATCGGCTGGAGCGCTGTGATTATTGGGGCTGCTTTCATCGAAAACTACGCCTCTCTCATCGCTACCCGCCTGCTCCTCGGAGCCTTCGAGTCAGGCCTATTCCCGTGCTTGACCTTGTACCTGAGTATGTACTACAAGCCTCTGGAGCAAGCGCGGAGGGTTTCGTATCTCTTTGTTGCATCTGCACTGAGCGGTGCATTCGGCGGGCTACTGGCGTACGGCCTCACAAATCTCCATGGCGCAAAGGGACTCGCTGGTTGGCGCTGGCTATTCTTGGTAGAGGGT